TTCAAGGCTCAGGGGTCCTGGATTATCTTCTGTGTCTGTGTTAATTGGTTTCCCTTTTCTTTGTTGAAGAGGGTCTGTGCAGTCTTTCTGCCTAGTCCGCCATCTTGCCGGCTGCCCTCAAAGAGCCGAGATCTGTTATTATTGCTGCAAACATGCATTAATAATTGGAACATGGAATGTATGAAGTATGAATCTAAAAAAAAAATTGGAAATTGTCAACAATGAAATGGAACACATAGAGATCGATAATCCTAGGCATTAGTGAGCTGAAATGTCCTGGTTTTGGCCATTTTGAATCAGACAACCATATGATCTACTATGCCGGGAATGACAAATTGAAGAGGAATGGCATGGCATTCATTGTTAGAAACAGTGTTTCAAGATCTATCCTGACGTACAGTGCTGTCAGTGATAGGATAATATCCATATGCCTACAAGGAAGACTATTTAATTCTACTGTTCAAATTTATGCACCAACCACCAAGGCCAAAGATGAGGATATTAAAGATTTTTTACCAATTTCTGCAGTCTGAAATTGACAAAACATGCAATCAAGATGTGTTGATTATCACTGGTGATTGGAATGCAAAAGTTGGAAACAAAGATGAATCACTGGTAGTTGGTAAATATGGCCTTGGTGATAGAAAGGCTCTGGAGAGGGCATGATAGAATTTTGTAAGACCACTGACTTGTTAATTGCAAATACCTTTTTTGAACAACACAAACCGCAGCTACACATGTGGACTTTGCCAGATGGAATACAAGGAATCAGATTTACTACATCTGTGGAAAGAGGCAACGGAGAAGTCCAATATCTTTAGCCAAAACTAGGCCAGGAGCTGACTGTGGAACAGACCATCAACTGCTCATATGCAAGTTCAAGTTGAAGCTGAACACAATTAATACAAGTCTACAAAAGCCAAAATAAGACCTTGATTATATCTTACCTGAATTTGGAGACCATCTAAACAATAAATTTTGATGCACTGAACACCAGTGACTGAAAACCAGATGAATTGTGGGAATGGTACCAAGAACATCATCTATGAAGAAAGCAAAAGGTCATTAAAAAGACAAGAAAGGAAAAAAAGACCACAATGGATGTCAGAAGAGACTCCAAAACTTGCCCTTGAATGGAGAGTAGCTAAAACAAATGGAAGAAATGACAAGATAAGAGTTGAGCAGATGATTTCAAAGAGCAGCTCGAGAAGACAAAGTGCTATTATAATGAAATGTACAAAGACCTGGAGTTAGAAAACCAAAAGGGAAGAACACGCTTGGCATTTCTAAGCTGAAATAACTGAGGAGTAAATTTAAGCCTTGAGTTGCAACATTTTAAGATTCTATGGGCAAAATATTGAATGATGCAGGAAACATCCAAAGAAGATGGGAGGAATACACAGAGTCACTGTACCAAGAAAGATTGGTCAATGTTCATCCATTTCAGGAGGTGGCATATGATCAAGAACCAATGATATTGTGAAGGAAGAAGTTGAGGCTGCACTGAAGGAATTGGTGAAAAACAAGGCTCCAGGAATTGAGGGAATACCCGTTGAGGTGTTTCAGCAAACTGATGCCATTCTGGAGGCACTCACTTGTCTATGCCAAGAGATTTGGAAGACAGCTACCTAGCCAAGTGACTGGAAGAGATCCATATCTGCATCCATTCCAAAGACAGGCGATCCCACAGAATGTGGAAATTATTAATCAATATCATTAATACTGCACACAAGTAAAATCTTAACTGAAGATAATTAAAAAACTATATTGCAGCAGTATATTGACAGGGAACTTCCAGAAATGCAATCTGAATTCAGAAGAGGAAATGGAATAAGGGATATCAATTGCTGATGTCACATGGATCTTGGCTGAAAGCAAAGAATACCAGAAAGAGGTTTACTTGTGTTTTATTGACTATAAAAGGCATTTAGCTGTGTGGTTCATAAAAAATTATGGGTAACATTGAGAAGAATGGGAATTCCAGAACACTTAATTGTACTCATGAGGAACCTCTATATAGACCAGGAGGCGGCTGTTCGAACAGAACAAGGGGACACTGATGGTTTTAAATCAGGAAAGGCGTGTGTCAGGGTTGTATCCTCTCATCATACTTATTCAATCTGTATGCTGAAGAAATAACCCGAGAAGCTGGACTACATGAAGAAGAATGTGGCATCAGGATTGGAGGAAGACTCATTAATAACCTGAGATACGCAGACGACACAACTTTGCTTGCTGAAAGTGAGGATGACTCAAAACACTTACTGATGAAGATTGAAGACTATAGTCTGCGGTATGGATAACACCTCAATATAAAAGAACAAAAATCCTCACAACTGGACCAATAAGCAGCATCATGATAAATGGAGAGAAGATTGAAGTTGTCAAAGACTTCATATTACTTGGTTCCACAATCAACATCAATGGAAGAAGCAGTGAAGACATCAGACAACGTGTTGCATTGGGCAAATCTACTGCAAAAGACTTCTTTCAAGTCCTGAAGAGCAAAGATGTCTCCTTGAAGACTAAGGTGTGCCTAACCCAAGCCACGGTTCTTTCAGTTGCCTCATATGCATGTGAAAGCTGAACAATGAATGAATAAGGAAGACCGAAGATGAGATGATGCTTTTGAGTTGTGTTGTTGGCACAGAATACTGAAAAGTACCATGGACTGCCAAAAGGACTAACAAATCTGTCCTGGAGGAAGTGCAACTGCAGTGTTCCTTGCAAGTGAGAATGGCCAGACTTCGTCTGACCTACTTTGATCATGTTGTCCGAAGGGACCATTCCTTGGAGAAGGATATCATGCTTGGTAAAGTGGAGGGTCAATGAAAGAGGGGAAGGCTCTCAATGAGATGGATTGACACGGTAGCTGCAATGATGGGCTCAGGTGTAGCATGGATTGTGAGGCTGGCACAGGACTGGTCAGTTTCGTTCTTTTGTACATGAGGTCGCTATGAGTTGGAGCTGACTCAATGGCTCCTCACAACAACAACACCTTCCATCCCTGATAAGCAACATAGTTTCTTCCATGTGTAAACCGTGACGTTTTACAGTAGTTAACTCATATAATATTTGTCCTTCTGTGATTTAGTTCACTTAGCATAGTGTTCTCCAAGTTCATCCAAATTATGATTCTTCAGGAGCACTGGTGGCATAGTGCCTAAAACATTTGACTGCTAAACAGAAGGCTGGTGGTTCAGACCTACTAGGCATTCCTCAGACGGAAGACTGGGCAATCTACTTCCATAGAGATACTACCTCGGAAACACAAGGAGGGGTTGCTGTGAGTTGGAACTGACTCGATGGTAGTGAATTTGATTTTTGGTTTTTTGGTTGTGTGTTCTTCAGTGTTATATTCCACTGTGTATATACCATAGTTTGTTTATCCATTTATCCACCGAAGAGGACTTAGTTTGTTTCTATCTTTTTGCTGTTGTTTATAATGCTGCAATGAATATGGCAATGTATATATAGTAATATATAAATTATATATATATATAGTAATACATATATAGTAATATGTTTATAATAATATGTATATAGTAATATATATATATAGTAATGTGTATATATATATATAGTAATATGTATATATAGTTACATATATATATGTGTATATACATATTTTTCCCCCCACATCCTGGCTCTTATTTCTGTAGGATCTGTATCTAGTAGTGGGATTGTTGGATCAAATGGTATTACTTTTTCCAACTTTTAAAGGAAGTACCATACTTTTCCACAGCAGTTGCACTATTATACAATATCCCAACAGTGTATGAGGGTTCCAGTCTCTCCACATCCTCACTAGCATTTGTTATTCTCTTATTGAACTTTGCTATTATTGTGGGCTTATTTTGGAAAGATCTCTTGATAGGAAGTTGAATATTGGTTTGTGAATTCTCTCTTTTACTTAGTGTTTCCTTCACTTTGTTTATCCTACAAAAAGAAAGGCACTAATCTTCAATATTTGAAGGTGAATTTTCTGAATTTAGAGAATCTTTAGATTAATTTATATGTTAAATATTCTCAGTTAATTGTGCAACTAGCATGCATTTATAAATGCTATGTTTGCTTATTTTTTAGGACCTAGAGATGCTATTAGGCTGTCATTTCATCGTTTGTGAGAAGTCGGCTCCGGGATGGAAAACTTCATTCTTTATGAGGAGATTGGCAGAGGAAGCATGACAGTTGTTTATAAAGGGCGGCGAAAGGGAACGATCAATTTTGTAGCTATTCTTTGTACTGATAAGTACAAGAGACCAGAAATAACCAATTGGGTGAGTCAATTGTTTTTCTTTGCATTTGGGGAATAAAAGAACTATGTTCAGGTAGGAAAAGTGGCTTGTAAACAGAGGCTATTGAATTCACCATAGCAGACACACATTTTCAGTCTGCAATGGGTGGTGACCTTCTATCTGTTCAGTGCCACCAATCCTGAAAAATGACTAATACATATTTTCAACTAATCAGTAATTTAGGATTTTTGTTTTAATAAGAGTCAGGGAAAATATATTTTATATTAGATCATTTGTCTTCTAAAATGTACAGTATGAACATGAAGCTTGTGAAGCAAGGACATTGTGTGAGAGTAACTTAGGTTTGAAGAAGCCATGCTACTTTATAGCCCAGGGTCCTTGGACCATACCTACCTTCTAGGGTCGTGAGGACTAAATAAGATAACACATAGAAAGCACTTAGAATGGTGCCTAGCACTTAGTTAACACTGTCTTTCATGATGGCTCTTATTATATCCTAGTAATTCATGTAACAGTTATATCCTAGTAATTCATGTAACAGGAAGGAGGTGGGGAAGAGGGAGGTGGGGCCATACTCGAGGAGAAGGGAGAAATTTAATTGGAGCTGAGAAGGTGAGAGCTGAGGATTTGGCCTGAAGAGAGTGATTCCAGTGAAGTGTTGGAGAGGAAAACCTGCAAGGCAGTGGGTTTAAGAAGGGATGCAAGGAGAGAAGGAACAGAGAAATGAGATGATAGCTGAATGGGAATAGAAGATTAAGATGGGGAAATTTATCAAGAGTTATACCTGATTTCTGAAGAAAAACATGAAATTACAAGGCTTGCAGTAGGTGTTTCCAGAAGGTACCTTGTTCTATTTTAAAAACAGGAGCTCTGCATTTCCCACAAATTCTAGGCCCATTAGTTTGTGTTGAGTGACAATAGAATTTGCACATGATTTATTTTTAGGGAACAAAAAAAATGAGGATCCAAAGCAGTTTGCTAATTGTTAGCAATTTTGAGTCTTGATAGTTTGCTGATAATGAACACACTTTTGTGGTTTTAATTTCCATTTTAATGAGATTTTAAAGTAAGAAATCAAAAATCCCTGAAGAAACTTAGTGCTTTTTAACTAAGACTTTTACATTACTGAATTTTGAGTTGGCTTTTTTGTTTTATTTTTGATGCATGAATATTCTTATGATCTAATGGCAATACACATTTTAAGAGCAGTGTGTTTATTGTAATAATTCCTCTTTTAACTATCTGGTTAAATTGATGATACTAGGATTCCCCAAGAGGATTTTAAAAAAAGGACTAGGTTTTTTAGAGTTCTTTGAAATATTATAAAAGGTAATACATACAATTATAGAAATTTGGCAATATAGGAAAATGAATAGAAGGGAAAAAAGCAGTTTCATCCCTTTAAAATTATATATTTTTTCCTGATTATGAAAGTATAGTGTGTATTTAGTATAGAAAATAGAAGAATGGAGAAAACCAGAAAGAGTAGAAAAAGCAGTAGGTCTACCTATACCGCAGCTATGTTGGCGTATACCTTCCAGTCATCTCCTGTGAATAATTTTTTTGCAGTGCTACATGTACATATAAGTATTTTTCATGTCCTTTTTAAGACCATTCATTCTATTATTAGCATTTCTTCATGTTTGTTGTTGGGTGCTGTTGAGTCTGCTTCAACTCGCAGTGACCCTGTGAACAACAGAACAAAACCCTGCCCAGTCCAGTGCCATCCTCGCTATCCTGGTTATGCTTGAGCCCATCTCTGTGTTTATTAGCCTTTAAACCATTATTTCAGATGTTTGTATAAAATTCCAAGTTTTGTTACCCGTTTCTCAATTCTGTATTTACGTGTTTCTTAGTAAATGCAAGTGTTTTAGGAACTTTTTTTTTTAGAGTGAATACTGTGTGTTTTTATAGGTCCGTCTCACCCATGAAATTAAACACAAGAATATTGTAACTTTTCATGAATGGTATGAAACCAGCAATCATCTCTGGCTAGTTGTGGAACTCTGCACAGGTAAGAGTATGTAACAAGTGCTGTGAAGGTAGCCACCTCATGTAGCTTTGAAAAAAACATGTGGTGTAGGTTTTTAAAAATTTTCATTTATATTCTACTACAAATCTGGTATTGATGTTATTTATTACAGTTACTTGAACATCTTTTTCTGAGATGTTGGGTAAGAGAAACAAATAAACAAAAAACTAAACTCACTGTCATTGAGTTGATTCCGACTCATAGCAACCCCCTTTGGGTTTTCGAGGTGGTAAATCTTTATGGAAGTAGATTGCCCAGTCTTCCTTCTATGGAGGGGCTGGTGAGTTTGAACTGCCAGCCTTCTGGTTAGCTGTCCAATACCTTAGGCACTGCGCCACCAGAGCTCCTTTGGGTAAGAGAAAGACATGTACAATTCAGATTGGAGTTTACTTTGGAATAAAATACAGGCATACCCTATTTCCTTACTCTTCACTTCAATGTACTTCACAGATGTTGTACTTTTTACAAATTGAAAGGTTTGTGGCAACCCTGCATGGAACAAGTTTATCAGTGCCATTTTTCCAGCAGCATGTGCTCACTTCATGTCTTTGTGTCACATGTTGGTAGTTCTCATAATATTGCAAACACACTCCTTGGAGGGAAGATTGGGCAATTTACTTCTGTAGAGATACCGCCTTGGAAACCCAAGGAGGGGTTGCTATGAGTCGGGACCGTCTTGACAGCAGTGAGTTTGGTTTTTGGTTTAATTGCACACTTAATAGACTATAGTATAGTGTAAGCATAACTTTTATATGTACTGGGAAAGCAAAAAGGAGCTCTGGTGGTGCAGAGGTTGAGGCATTTGCCTGCTAACCAAAATATTGGTGGTTTGAACCCACCAGCTGGTCTGTGAGAGAAAGATGAGGCAGTCTGTTTCAGTAAAGATTTACAGCTTTGTCAATCTATACATTCAATGCAATCCCAATCGAGATCTCATCAACATTCTTTAGG